TGGATCTTCGGATCAAAAAAAGTTTTTTAGGCAAAATTTGCACTTAAGGTATGTGGATAATCTTTATGCAAAGTAAAAACATATTCAACTTCTAATATTTGAGTTATAATTCTAAATTCTGAATTTTGAGTTATTTTTGAACTGGAAAGTCTGGAATATTGTGTTCTGGATCTATGGATTGAAATCACAAACTTTTTGTAAGATATAATTTAAAAAAAAWTTTATTAATTAAAACACCACAGAATGGATATTCAATACCTTGTACAATGTAGAGAAGAATCCTTGCTGCATCTGTTCTGGTATTAGGATGCACGGATTCCACATTATCCAATATCTTACACAAATAGGCTTTCCTTTCACTGGGTTTACTATCCACCCACTTTTCTGCCACTACAATAACAGTGTACTAGTTAGATGTAACACAGCATGCAGAAAGTGACATAGACATGAAGTGTGTGCTTTCTTGAGTGCTTTCAGTGCTTCCTAAATACTGTATTACTGCACACAGCATGGAACAAGAGGTTTCAATATTACAGCATGTCTTCAAAAATCAACTTCTAAGTTCTAATTTGGTCTTTGGGCTTTCACCTAGTTGGAGCCTAGCTCTGTTGTGATTGTCCCATGCTGTGACACATTAGCTTAAACTTAATAGATTTAAATAAGATGCCTTACTGACAGTGTATGTGCTACATAGGAACAGTGCATGCTTCTCACTCAGACAAAAACCACTCCAAGGTAAGGTACGATTTTTATTTTTTCATGGTTGGAGTGGGGGGGCTTCTTCAGAGGGGAGGGCCATCAGTAAAAATTTGAACTATATAAAGGGTCAAACCTTTTTATGTTGGCAAAAGCTGTTTCCTTATTGATTTAATAGGAGGGTCATAAACTTCTAACTGAGTGGAAGAAGGAGGGCTAAAATCATTTTTTAAAAGTTTAAATCAACTGTGAATCTACTAGCCCACCCCCTCCAATGAAGAAGGTATCTTCCCTAATGTGAGTCTTACAGTATTCCTGCCATAAACAATTAAACGAAATCAAACAATTGATTCCATCTAATCCAATCTAATGATTGGGTTCGATTTGCATTTGGCAATCAAATGAAATCGAATTCACAAAAATATTGGAGCCAATGGAGTACAATCCGACCATTTGATTACATTCCATGATAATTTAGGATCAATTGGAGTCAATCCAACACAATTGAACATTTGACTTTATTTAACTGTAAATTCAATTACATTTAATTGTAATCGAATGGAATCTAATTCACAATTTTTTAGCATTCAATTTTGTTTTATTGCCAAATGCAATCGAATCCAATCATGTGATTGTGTTTGATTGAATTCGATTTCCCAATGATTCAGTTGATTAGCCGGGAGTATTTTAAATCTATTTTGCTATAGCACTGTAATTTTACTGAATATATATCTATAAATCATACCTGTTTGGTAATAATCAAATTCAAATGTATCTCTGTTGATCTGAAAATCGTATTCTTCTGTGTAGCTATACAACTCTAAAGAAAGAAGTTATACCAGTGAATAAATCGACCCTTTACAGAGTGAACTAGAGTTGTTCATCAGTAACAATAATTTATAGTACAGACTAGTGCTGTCAAACTTGTACAATGGCAGAGACATTCAAAAGCAAAAAGAAGACGGAAGAAATATTGGATCTTTTTTTTTTGTTATCACAGAAATAACGAGGAAAATGTGGTGTAGTTTATCATTGGATATTTCTTAGTCAAAGAGCAAGTCAAATATTTTTACGAACCAGAAATTTCTGAGGCTGGTTGATCTGTGTCGCCATATTCAAAGTCGATGTCTGGTGTGTCTACTTGACCCTGGGAAAGAAAAAATGCTGTTTATATAGTCTAACGTTATTTGTTTTAACGATCTCGTCGTATTTACCTCTGATTCTCGTCTCTGTCTTCGTAAAATGTCCCGTAATTTAGGAATACCTCGCTGTCTTCCTCCCGAATCCATCTTGTTTATCAGTACTCTGCCGAGTAGGCCTGGAAACTTACCACAGGTAGCCCAACCTGAATATCAAAATAAACCAAGTCTGAACCGAATAATAAAAAGAAAGAACGAAAATGAGAATACTCTAAAACAATAAAGAAATCATGAAATAACAAAAATAAGATAAACCACGCACAGTTTGATATCTAAATTAACATCTCTTAGTTTTTTTTTGAAAAATTAAATGGAGGAATGGCCTATGGTCACTTATATCAGGGTATTGAGCTTGACTCGTGGGCACGCGCGCGGCGAGCCTGCGTGCGCATTTCAAATTAATATAGTGACGTAATAAGCAGCAACAGTCCCGCTAGCCGGATGGAATGACCAACAGAAAACAGGGCTGGTCATTTGGCCTTCCTCTTTTTCTACTGGTCATTTGTTTAGCTGGCCCATTGCAAGGTAGTTCTTTCCTTTTTCGTCCTTTCATTTTTCCTTGAGTAATCAAAATAACCTTCTTTCTTCTAGGATTTAAGGTGTATGGTTTTCAGAAAAGAATATTAAACAGTCAAGGCGGCCAAGCAGCCAGGTATAAGACACTTACTAAAGGACAGGAAGCTTCGGGGCATCAATCAGAAAAAAACAATATAGAAGGACTAGTTTCACTGGGCTATGCTGACCGCAGTCGGCGCAACTTTGGTAAGCGTGCGTAATTACTGGATAGGGCTTATGATTGGGGTTCTTTAGAATATTAAGCTCCAAGATTTACTTTGTACATTAAATTGTATTTACATTGATGGAGGAATTAATTGGGCGCGCGATGCTTCCTAAATTCAAATTTTACTCAATGCTCTATTTTTGTATCTTTAAGTCGATGATGCCAAACAAACAGTCAAGTCAACGACAGAAAAGTTATCTTGGATAAAGAAGAACTTCCATTATCTTCTATTGATGGTCGGTTCCATCTTCTTTCTTTTCTTCAGCTGTGCTATGTATCGAAGACTGACGAGGGATAGAGACGAGTAAGTGATAAAGTCGAGGAGGCAAGGTCTGAAGGCGTGTCCGCTAAATAGGAGTATCACTGTATATCTAATAGTGCATTGAGGGATCCCACAGGGGTATCACGAAACCCTCTACTTGTTTTCTCCGGCTTCATTCTTATTCACAATTATTTTTATTTCAATGAAAACTTGAGGTTTTGAACGCGCACTTTCAGCGCACATTTTAATAGAGGTAGTAATACTTTTATGAGTTTGCGCAAAGACATTTAAAAGCCAAATGAAGGCTAATGTTATAGAGAATTTACGAATGAATAATGTTAATTTGTGTTGCTGCATGCATCTTATGTTATTATATACACCGAAATATAAAACGTGTTTGCTATATAGCCAGCACACGTACAACTGTTCTTCGGACAAATGAAGAGGTTTTGCTTTTAATATTTCCACAGCGAAGACAGTGATGATGTTAGAGTAGTTGTAATTGGAGGTCCTAGAGACAAGTCATCGGCCACAGGAACCTCTTCTAGCTCTCCTCCGATCAATATTAAAGGGACCAAGGAGACATCAAACTCTAACAAAACGAAGAATTCATTCAAGCCAACTACCAAGATGACAAAGAAGAATACAAATACTGAAACCACTAGAATGAAGGGAGAAAGGAAGAAACAAGAGCCAAAGGAATTAAAGGAAAGTGATTCTAATGCCAGGAGCGACGATGATGATTACGATTCAAGTGATAGCGAATACAATCTTTTGGTACGTGAATACAGGGACGTCGTCTTCAGTGATTTCATGAACGCGTGCGCAGTAGTGGAAGGTGAACATTGGATGAAGCGCAGAAAGGAAAGCCTCTTTAATGCTCTTATGAACCACAGAAAGAAACCTTTTTCGCAAATAAGAATAGATGCTTGTGTCATCAATGAAGGGATTCCACTGTCCTCATACACGTCATTTCAGCAATCCCACCAATCGGAAACAGTGTTGAAGGTATGCGAACCCACCACGCAATACGTGGAAGAGATTCGTGAACGCGCCGAACTACTTTATGGCAAGAGACAAGTTACTCAAAGTACTACAAGCTACTCACAGTACCCTGTCCTCGACGACTTGGAGCTGTTGAATGAACGTCTTGTGGTATCTAGTAGTTTGGAGAGGTGCGGACATTATCTTCCAAAGGCATCTACTAACACTAGGCTACCGATCACAGCTACAGTAAATTAAATATCATTTGATCGAGATAAACTATGCGTCGGAGAGAGAAAAAGATCAGTCAGGAATAGTCTGTGATAATGGGGCTTTTCGAATGTAGTTCTAAAGCACACAGGAAATAAATATTTGACTACAAAACGGTGTATAAAACCTTGACTTACGAGTGTCCAGAAGGAGGGGTGCCAATACCATTTTCCAGCCAATTTTATTCCCTTAAATCCCACTTCCCAGCTGTAGTGACTCGACGCCATATCTAGATCAACTATTTATTATTCACAACTTAGCTAATTATCATACATGATTAGTTGCTATGGATACTACATCTCTCCCTTTCTTCCAAATGTCCATGTGTCTTTCGTATGATTACTGAATTATATAACCTAATTATTATCATTGCTAAATACTGTTATCTTTTTTCTTTTTCTTTTTTCATGTTCAAGTACAATAAACTCAACTATAACAATGTTCCATGTCCTCTATCCCTAAGGGTACATATAGTAGTCTTCAAACTTCTTGGGTCTTCGTCTTTCCCTTCTTGGTCGGCTTACTTTCTCTCCTTCATCTTGTGGTTTTTCTCTTTCCACTCGCTCTTCGGTTTTCTCCTGTTTAACTTGAGTCATCTTTGATGATTTCTCCTTCAGCTCCGCTTGTTTCCCTTCGTTGTTCGGTGGTTTCTTCCGATCCTCATGACTTTTGGTTTCCCTCAGAATTCTCTCTCTAGGGTCTTCCTGCTTGGTGTCTGTTGTCTCCTTCGGTTCTTCCTGGCTTGGTCCAACCGTTTCTGTTTCATCTGCTGTGTTGATGACAGTGTTGACTAGTTTGAAGTAACTTGCGTCCCGACAAACTGTGCGTCCATCTGTTGTTCTTCTTGCTGTTATCTTGGATCCTTGCATATCGCAGATTGTATAGAATATGGGTTCATATGGTGTGCTCCATTTGTTTTTCTTCTCTTGTTTGACTAACACGTAGTCTCCGAGTAGCAGTCTCTTTTCCTTTGTTCGATTGTTTTCTCTCTGCACTTTCA